TTTCCTTTCCACTGGCAGCTGCATCCACACAATAGGATCCTTCACAATGAAGAGTAGGGGAAGGGTCCAGTAAATATGTCACATTTCCCAGCCCCTTCCTTTTTTAAATGAACACAATGATTGATCGGTACACTCATTGTGTTCATTCATAATTGAATCATAGTAAACTGTGTTTTCTTTGGGGGGCCCTGTCAGGTTGGCTGTAGGGGGCCCCGTGGTTCCTAAAAGCAGCCCTGGTAACCAGCACAAATAAGCTTTGGACAGGGCAGAAGGCCAGGAGGAGGAGCTGGCTGTAGTCTTTCTGTCCCTTATGGAAGTAGGGGCTAGGGTTGATTGAAAAAGGCCATTTGAGCTAGGCCTGTTTGAGGCTGCTTCTCTGGAGGGTCCCTGGGAGGGATGTCAATGAAAAAATTAGAACAGCGCTCCCTAACACCCTATTACTATACTTATATTATAGATGTACAGACTGTCACTATATTCAAGTGCAAAAAATACAAAAACAAACAAAGTGCTATATGCAAAACCCTGTAAAAATATTATGTATGTCAAACCAATATCAACATATTTTTTATAAATGTGACCGATCATATAACACCCCCCATCGTACATTCTAAAACATAAATGTGCAAATTTGTGCAAAAAATTACATATAACAGTAATTACTGTATATGTACAAAAAAACTATATATATATATATATATATATATATATATAAAACTTAATAGTCCATAGCATAACGTGATGCAAGAAAAAAGTCCTTCAAATTAAATGTGTATCTATGTATTTTGATCCTTGTGTTTCGAATAACCACCACACCGTGTGTATCCACCAACAAGCGAATTGAATAAACTCGCCAGAGCTCCAGGCTGGTCAAATTACAAACCAGCTACTGTGCATTGGCTCTGGGAGCAACTATCTGCAGCAATGTCAATGACTCCTATAACCTCTTAGCTTGACACTCCTCATACATGGAACCGCTTAGAAGGAAAGAAAAAGGAACCTCAAAAGTGTAAAACCATTTAAAATACTTTATTCTATTTTAAAAAATCCACATCACACTCACATTACTGAGGGTCATAACTGACACTAGTATAATCAGCATATGTTATAAAGGTAGACTCCGGTCACTGCATTTACTGCGAGCTCCCCCTTACTACATGGTGACGTCACCTCCGAAAACCCCGCCCTGCACGTTTCGTCATCCGACGTCCTCCAGAAGCAGAAGACTCAGGAAGATCTGGAAGAGATGTACCTAGTGAGGAGGTGACTACAGAGATAACAGTCCTGTGAGTACTAATGACCCGGATAGAGGAGGGACTTTAAGGGAGATGGCTGCTGAGATGCTGCATATGTATTCACTTTTGACTACTGCGAATCATCCACTAAATGTGATTGCCTGCGTAATGTCAAGTGACTCCGGAATATATGTCCTTGTGATGTGGCTGTTATGCCATTTCCTGAACCGACAGTAAAGTTCAGTGGAACTACATCTGTGTGGACATTTCTTCCTTTGCGGATAATAATTAATCGGCCAGGAATGCTGTGCGAAGGCCTCTGACAAGCAGCAGGGCAGAGGGTTCAGCCTCAGCAGGAGGGACAATGTTCTAAAAGGACCAGACCGGGGTTAGGGACTTATGCTTTGACGCCAAATTCAGCCAACCACAAAGCCCCTCTTACTTACTGTACTTACCCTAAGCAGTTCTTCTTAAAGCTATATATAGATTGACACATTTTTATTATATTGTTGTCCAATAGATTTTTGGGTGACCCTGAGTTATGCAAATATTTTAATGAACCATGCAGAATAAAACTGACCCCTCGTAACCTGTATAGCGCATGTAAAGGCATTTTTAAATTTTTACCTTTAATTTGTCCTGGTGACTAGAGATGAGCGAATTTTTCAAAAATTCGATTCGGGCTGATTCGGCGAATTCCAGGAAGAAATTCGATTCGATGCGAATTAATTCGCTACGAAGTTAACTTATAAAAAGGGTTTCTAGGCTTCAGAGAGCCTTTAAATTAGTGCAGAACACTGTACCTTTAATTTAAATGCCCTTGGAGATGAGGAAGGAGAAGGAGAAGGAGAAGGATGAGAAGAAGGAGAAGGAGAAGGATGAGAAGAAGGAGAAGGATGAGAAGAAGGAGAAGGATGAGAAGAAGGAGAAGGATGAGAAGAAGGAGAAGGAGAAGGAGAAGGAGAAGGAGGAGAAGGAGAAGGATGAGAAGAAGGAGAAGGATGAGAAGAAGGATGAGAAGAAGGATGAGAAGAAGGAGAAGGATGAGAAGAAGGACAGTTCTGTGACAGTTTCTGTCTATTTCTGACAGTTCTGTGACATTCACTCCATACAGCGGTTGAAACATTGTATCTATTTGTTTCCATAAATGACATTCTGCAGATACACTTAGAGGAGCTCTACACTTTTTGCCGGCTTGGAATTATTCTTATTTTCATCCTACTTCTTCTTCTTCTTCTTCATCCTCATCCTCTTCTTCTTCTTCTGAGGATGAGGATGAAGAAGAAGAAGAAGAAGAAGTAGGATGAAAATAAGATTAATTCCAAGCCGGCAAAAAGTGTATCTGCAGAGCTCCTCTAAGTGTATCAGCAGAGCTCCTCTAAGTGTATCTGCAGAATAGAGGAACTCTGCACATACACTTTTTGCCGCTTGGAATTATTCTTATTTTCATCCTACTTCTTCTTTCTTCTTCTTCTTCATCCTCATCCTCATCCTCTTCTTCTTCTTCTGAGGATGAGGATGAAGAAGAAGAAGAAGAAGAAGAAGTAGGATGAAAATAAGAATTCCAAACCGGCAAAAAGTGTATGTGCAGAGTTCCTCTATTTCTGACAGTTCTCTGACAGCTTCTTCACATGTACAGCGGTTGAAACATCTGTATCCTAAATGGAAACTAATAGATACAATGTTTCAACCGCTGTACATGTGTTCCTTCTGTCAGAGAACTGTCAGAAATAGCGGAGCTCTCTGCAGGGACACTTTTGCCGGCTGATCGGGAAAAATCCGATTCGCGCACCCGAAGTAAGCAAATATTCGGATTCGCCGCGAATCGAATTTTTCCTGAAATTCGTATCGAATTCCGGTTCGCCTGGTTCGATTCGCTCATCTCTACTGGTGACCATTGTTACTGAGACAGAAAGTGAGTGAAAATTAAAAATGTGAGTTGTCATTACAGCAAGATGTGATGGAATGGGGACATGGAATGGGGACATTTGCTCCTATGACAGTGATGACAATTCCATTCATTTGAAGAGATTTACTCTCATTTTCTGTTGAGTCTCAAAGGACAGGAAATAAAGTGCAATCTCCCTGGCGGGACACAGGCAACAAAAAATAGCCTGATAGCTGTTTTACCCCCTTTTTTACTCCTTCTAAAACTTAAAGAAAGGTTTGGTTTTACAAATACAAACACATCGAGCAAGGGGCGGACTGACCATTCGGGCACTTGGGCACTGCCCGAGGGCCCAGGGTCAGTAGGGGGCCCCATGAGATGCCCATGGCACCTTTCTTAGGCTTTTTTGGGTGTGGTTTGAGTGTGGGCAAGGACACAGGGGCCCCATGATCCCCTATTCCCGGGGGGCCCCATGAGTTGTCAGTCCGCCCCTGCCGCGCAAAAGAAGCACATGCACATACCAAGGGAGGGGGCCACAATGGATTTTTCTCAACTAGCTAACATGCACTTTCATATCACACTCAGTTTTTGTTGCAGTTTTCTGTAACTATTCTTATCTGTTGTGTTTTACTTTAATCAGCATTGTAAAATTAATTTTGGCATGGCCTTATACTCTTTGGAAAGGTGATCAGGATGTTTTCAATAAATATTATTGATATTTTTTCGCCTATAACAATTTGTATTGAAATTTTTTTAAAAGAGCCAACACTTAGCACTTTTATTGCCTTTGTAATAAGTAAATAATTTGTCTTCATTTTTTACTGCTATTTAGTGTTAAATTAAAAAAAAAATTTATATTCAATATAGTTGTTGGATCTGGCCTAATAACCATTCCCATGATGACCGCCTTAGATTGTAAGCTCTAAGGAGCAGGACCTTCTGTTTCCTCTTATACCAAATTGTATTGTAACTGTAATGTCTACCTTCATTTTTTAATGTGCTGATCATTTGATTATTACATTGTATTCACATTTCTTTCCTTGGCTGTTTTATTCCCATGATTACTCTATTTCTATTCTGTAAATTGAGATTTATTACTCTTCATTTGTACTGTTGTTTGCAGTTTATTTTCTCTTGTTATTTAAAGTGTTTTTAAGGCCTGAATGTCAAAGAGTTAAAACTGGAAGGTTTTTTTTTGTTTATGGCCTCTGTTTATTTAAAGAGGAATTTTCAAGTTTTACAGAGAAAAAAAGAATGGAAAAGGCATTCCATTGGTAACAGAAATTACTGCAGCATTAGATTGCACATGAGATAGCAAAAAAATTTATTCCCAAGCAATGAAAACAGCAGCTAGGGTGACCTGCTCCGAAGCCACATCAGTGATCCCAAAGCGGGCCAGCTGACACATAAACATGCAATACAAGAACAAGTCAAAAAAAGTAATGCATGGTACCAATACAATGCAACATCATTGTACAAAAGAGGGATGGAATGTATCAAGAGGGGTACCAGACTCCAGAAAGAAGCCACTCAGCATGCCATAACTCAAGATAATAAAGGTGCATTAAGGGCTAAGTAGTCATCCCAGGTATCCCATACAGCAGTAAACGTAGCTAGATTATTACGCAGTCTAGCAGTAGGTATTCCATAGAACTCACTTCCTTAACCTGCTGTAGATGGGAAGAAAGCATTGGGGGATGTGTGTCATTAGTTTCTTTAGATTTTTCCCTAGCTCCCACAACAGGGATGCTCAAAAGATACATCAGCGGATCAAGGTGGATAGGCATGATAACTACCTTGGAAAGGAGCAAGTTAACCTCTTCCCAGAAAGGTGTAATTCTTGGGCACGTCCATAAATTGTGGAACAGAGATCCTACCGCCGAGTCACATCTCCAACACCTATCGAGAATGGAAGGAGAAATAGTATGTAGGAACTCAGGGGCGGACTGACAACTCATGGGGCCCCCGGGCAATAGGGGATCATGGGGCTCCTGTGTCCTTGCCCAAACTCAAAAAAGCCTATGAAAAAGGTACCAGGGCATCTCATGGGGCCCCCTACTGACCCTGGGCCCTCGGGCAGTGCCCGAGTTTCCAAATGGTCAGTCTGCCCCTGCTCAGGGGTATGATACCACAAGAGTAAAATCTTACAAGCATTTTATAAACCTTGCACATGAAGCTTTTATGGGCTTGCAACCAAAGCACCCGCCAGACCTCTAATGAGAGTTCAAAGCCCAGCAATGCTTCCCATTTCAACATATAACAATGTTTAGAAAATGGTTCCACCATTATAGTAGCCAGGATCTAATAGATATCAGAGATCATTGCATTTATTGATGATCCTTCTGTACAGGTTCTCTTAAATGGAGTCGGGAGGGCAAAGATAAGGTCTCTCATTAGAGACTGTGCATAATGTCGAAAAAAACTATAGAATGATGAATTGAGTAGACCATGTTTATTCCGAAGGTCGAAAACAACAACAGCCAATGTGAGCAACTAAAGTTAAATAATAATTTTTTTTCTGTAGGGAAGTACCATAGATGTAGACAGACTATCAGGAATATTGGGGTCTAGTGAATTGTATCAGTGCTAGCAGAGTAGTGCCTAAATCTGAGCAGTGAGAGCCACACAGAAAATAAATAGGATGTATAAGGGCCAGTCATAATGTTTGTGATTCCTGTCACGGCCCACGGTCGCCGCCACCAACAGGCGACAATCGCACAGCCGCGACTAACAGTAATACGTCACGCCCACGGCGTCAGACCCCAGACCTTCTCACCAAACTCGTGACCGAAGGGCCGTCCGATCCAAAACCGCGGTGTGACGTGCTTAACAAGGCCCCACCCAGCTGCACCCTACACAGCGATTGCCCAGCTAATGGTCTACAATCTGTGCCTGCAGCCTGAATGCGCTTGTTACTGGGTCGGGTTAATTACGCAACTAACCCTTCTACTGCCACCATCACTTTTGTCGGAGACTGGGAAACTCCCATTATCAAAAATACACTATAATGATTCAAATATTGATCTATATAGCACGGCCCGCGGACCTGCTATACAGAGATATAACAAACAGTAGCGTCTCTTCAAAGGCAGGGATTCGTGAATTGCAAGTAAGCGCTTAGAAACAGTTTAGCACTTTCAGAAAGAAAGATTTATTTCTAACAGGGTCAAAACAGGTGCGCTAAAATATTTACCAAGAGATGTCACAAAAATATATATATATGTATATAAAGACACAGCAAAGAGATAATTAGGAAGAAGATTACAGGGTTAAGTTACTTGCCCATATGCCTGGGTTTGCAAATCCAAGATGCAGAGCAGAAAGGTTCTTTGATCTCCTCTGTTTCGATGTTACCTCGGAGATCTGTGTGTGTGTGTGTGTGTGTGTGACAAGCTCTAACTCTCTTGAAAGTCCCTCTCAAGGGGAGGGGCTCTGGCTACACGTTTTGGGAGTGGTCATTGGGGAACTCTAAACTAAACTACCAGCTTCATATCCCATGACATGAACCATACAGTTGACCTGAGGAATGTGCATTTACTCTGGTCAGTTTGATAATGTATGGGCTTACGCCGTTTTGGGTGACAAAAGTTACACTTTAGTAGAAGGCCTGTCTCAACTCTCATGTCTTCCTGGTTGTTCCACGCCATCTGCCAGGAGATAACGTTTGCCTCTCAGGAAGGGAGGAGGGTAGGAATGAGGCTGAGGAATGCCTCAAATAAACAGACAGAACACGAAAAAGAGAGTGGAAAAGGGGGACTCTGCTCCAACAAGGATGAGCAAGTTTGCCACAATTCCATCCAATGATTATACAATCCAAACTTAGTTCAAGAGGCCAAGGAAAACAGTCAGGTTTTTTTTTCTGCCTGAGCACATGCTAGGGAGAATTACCTCTCTATCTGTCCTGGTCACCATTGTCAAAAAGTGATGGGAAATCCAACACCTTATTGTTGTCACTGGTACAAGAAATAAAGGAAATTCTTCCAAAGAGTTCTGGTAACAATTGTTCAAGAGGAAATTTCCCACTTGCTCTGAAGAAATCTCCCATCTTCCTGTTCATCTGTTGAACAGGAAGTCCAAGGAAATCTCTCAATGGTTCGATGACACGGGTTTTCAAGTTATTCGCTATGTTGGCTTTATAAACTGTGACTTTTTCAGTAATAGAATCTGATAAAGGAAAAGTGCCACTGTGCCCACAGGGTTCACATTGCTGGACCACATATTAAGCTTTCCCTAACCTCTTCATTTCTTCCTGAATGCATTAAACCTGTGATAGATGCTGGTATTCTGAATCACTCATCAATTTTATCTCTTAGGGAATCCAGAAAACAGATATTCTTGCCTATACTGCTGCAATTCCTGGTGTCTCACTGTACCTGCATAATCTCCAAAATCTAAAAAAAATTAAAATCCAAAACAGCTGCATCAGCATACCCAAATCCCTGGGTTTGGAGTTCTGAGATTCCAAAAGAGATAATAGTAGAAGCTCCAGCTTATTACTAAGTACTGCAAAATCAATTGTGGTCAGGCTTCCCGATATGTAGTATATATCCCTGCGTCCATTAAAGTATAATTTCTCCTTTATATTTTTCTCTATTATTAAAAGAAAATAACTCATCACTAAAGTATTGCGCAGAGAAAAAAATGTACTAAGCTTTATATACTGGAGAGCTGATAGAACATATCCCCGGCTCTCTTAATGTTGGCAAAGGCAAGTAGCTTCAGCGAGGGGGAAAAACAAGTCCATATGGCATATGAAAAGAATTCCATGTATTTCAGAGGTCATATGTAAATACAGTTCTTTTTTGTAGAGTCTTTAAAGTTCACCTGTCACACCCACACATACAGGCCTATGCAGTAAAGCTCCTCTGAGAACATTATTGGCCAGTGAATTCACATAAGGCAGCACCAGGCAGGGATCAGCAATACAGCAATGCCAATTACAATTAATACTTCATTTTAGGGCTTTTGCTTGGTCAGTGGGTGCACTATCCTGGAAACCCGTGTTTGAGAATTATGAAACCTTCCAATGCTTTCTCACATTCTCTGGTATAGTCAGTTAGGATGATCTGGTGGGCTTTGATGCTTTCTGAATCACTAGCCTGCAACATTTATACAGATCAGGACTCTTCGTCTGCTAACTCAATTTATTGCAGGCTGAATCAGCATAATGGTTGCCCTTAAAGGGCGGTTTTATCTGTAAGACTATGTATGCACAGCTCAGGAGTGCACTATGTATATAGTACAGAGTTCAGATGTATACGGCATGCAGAGTTCAGGAGTGTTACGTACAAAATGCATGGTTTAGGAGTGCGCTACGTACAGAGTGCCGAGTTCAGGAGTGCGCTACGTACATAGTGCAGAGTTCAGGAGTGCACTACGTACAGAGTGCAGACTTTAGGAGTGTGCTACATACAGAGTGCAGAGTTCAGGAGTGTCCTATGTACAGAGTTCAGACTTCAGGGGTGTGCTACATACAGAGTGCAGAGTTCAGGAGTGTCCTATGTACAGAGTTCAGACTTTAGGAGTGTGCTACATACAGAGTGCAGAGTTCAGGAGTGTCCTATGTACAGAGTTCAGACTTCAGGGGTGTGCTACATACAGAGTGCAGAGTTCAGGAGTGTCCTATGTACAGAGTTCAGACTTTAGAAGTGTGCTACATACAGAGTGCAGAGTTCAGGGTGTGTCCTATGTACAGAGTTCAGACTTCAGGGGTGTGCTACTTACAGAGGGCAGAGTTCAGGACTGCCCTGTGTACAGACCGCAGGCGTCAGGGGTGTGCTGCTTACAGAGTATAGAGTTCAGGAGTGCCCTATGTACAGACTGCAGGCATCAGGGGTGTGCTGCTTACAGAGTGCAGAGTTCAGGAGTGCCCTATGTACAGAGTGCAGACTTCAGGAGTGTGGTGCTTACAGAGTGCAGACTTCAGGAGTGTCCTATGTACAGGGTGCAGACTTCAGGGGTGTGCTACATACAGAGTGCAGAGTTCAGGAGTGCCCTATGTACAGAGTTCAGACTTCAGGGGTGTGCTACATACAGAGTATAGAGTTCAGGAGTGCCCTATGTACAGAGTGCAGACTTCAGGGGTGTGCTACTTACAGAGGGCAGAGTTCAGGACTGCCCTATGTACAGACTGCAGGCGTCAGGGGTGTGCTACTTACAGAGTATAGAGTTCAGGAGTGCCCTATGGACTGCCCAGGGGTGTGCTGCTTACAGAGTGCAGAGTTGGAGTGCCCTATGCACAGGGTGCAGACTTCAGGGGTGTGCTACATACAGAGTGCAGAGTTCAGGAGTGCCCTATGTACAGAGTGCAGACTTCAGGAGTGTGGTGCTTACAGAGTGCAGACTTCAGGAGTGCCCTATGCACAGGGTGCAGACTTCAGGGGTGTGCTACATACAGAGTGCAGAGTTCAGGAGTGCCCTATGTACAGAGTTAAGATTTCAGGGGTGTGCTACATACAGAGTATAGAGTTCAGGAGTGCCCTATGTACAGAGTGCGACTTCAGGGGTTTGCTACTTACAGAGTGCAGAGTTCAGGAGTGCCCTATGTACAGAGTGCAGACTTCAGGGGTGTGGTGCTTACAGAGTGCAAAGTTCAGAAGTGCCCTATGTACAGGGTGCAGACTTCAGGAGTGCCCTATTTACAGGGTGAAGACTTCAGGAGTGCCCTATTTACAGGGTGCAGTCTTCAGGGGTGTGCTACATACAGAGTGCAGAGTTCAAGAGTGCCCTATGTACAGAGTTCAGAGTTTGGGGGTGCACTGAGTACAGAGTGCAGGGTTGGGGAGTGAGCTACATACAGAGTGCAGGGTTCAGCTCTGTTTCACAGCCTGTCCACATCTCCCATTCACCGCTCCTCCTCCACTCTGACCTCTGCACCCCTCCCCCTATTCCTCTATTCCTCACCTCTGCACACATCTCCCTCCACAGCCCTCATCTATACCCCCCCAAAGCTTTAATGCCTCTCACCTATCTGCTCTAGCTCTAGTATCTCCCGGAAGTGTAGAAGGCTCCGCCTCTTTCTCTAACTTGTAGGGAAGTCATTGGTTGGCACGGTGGGGACAGTCATTGGTTGGCTGTCCCCACCGTGCCTGTGCGAGCAGGGCAGGCAGGGATCTG